GGTGATGTCATTGAGTTTTTTGTTATTGTTGTGGTTGCTGATTACAATGACGTCATAGTGATGATGATTGATTAAGTTGATGTTGCAATTTCGGGGATCTGTTTGCATTTGAACCTCATAACTGCAGCAGCTGTAGCAGCCACCTTACTACTTGAGCCGTCCCTTTAATATTATTTTTATCTTTAGCCTATGTATCACAGGTTGGTGTATAATGTTACATTGTTGTTGCATTTGTATTTAACGTTGTCGTTGTTGTTGTTGCTGCTGCTGTTGTTGTTGTTGCTACTTATGTGTGAACTTATCAAGGTCTTAATCTTTAAGAAATATTTCTGAAGAATTTGTATCATTTTTCAATTCGTTTATTCGTTTGTTCATTCGTTCGTTCGTTCGTTCATTCATTTATTCATTTTTTGCAATGACCTTCATTTTTCATTAGTTTTAAATTTAGTTTTTTATTCTTTTGTTCATTCATTCATTTTCTTTTTTCCGCCATCATTCATTCATTTCCCAATTATTTATTTTTTGACGGATGGTCATTTGAGGACGTCTTCATTTATTCATTCAATTATTTATTCATTCATTTATTCATTCTGTTTTCATTTCCCAATTCATTCATTTATTCATTCATTAATTTTTCAATTCATTTGTTGTTTTATTCATTCATTCTGGTTCTCAATAATTTATTCATTCATTCATTCGTTCGTTCGTTCGTTCGTTCGTTCGTTCGTTCGTTCGTTCATTCATTCATTCATTTATTCATTCATTCATTCTTTCATTCATTCATTCATTCTTTCTTTTTTTTATTCTTTCATCCTTCATTTTTTCAATCCATCATTTATTCATCATTTTATTCCATCGTTCATGCCTAGCAGCAAAAAAATTTTTTTTTTGTTTGCCCATCACCCATTATCTAATTTATTTAATGCGTCTTTTGGGTTTTTGTGATTTTTTGTTTTTATTGTTATTATTATTGTTATTTATTATTATTATTTTTATTATTATTTATCTTTTTGGGTTTGTTTATTTGGTCTATCTCTTCCCAATATAATCATTCAACTATTCAATCATTCAATCAATCACTCAATCAATCCATCCATCCATCTTTCAGCCAATCATTCCATCTATCAATTGACATTCATTTATTCAATCATTCGTTCATTTCTTCATTTATTTTATCCATTTGTTCACCCATTTATTCATTCGTTCGTTCGTTCCATCAATCATCCGCTTGTCCATTCATTTATACATTTTTGTTTTAAAGTTTTAATATTTATTTACTGTTGTTGTTTTTGTCGATGATGATAATGATGTCTCGATAAAGTGTTGATGATAACAATGATGATGACGACGACGACGATGATGATGATGATAAGAACGATGATGATAATGCTGTTGATGATGATGAAGACGACAATGATGACAAATGAAATGGTTTTTTGCTCCTAAATTAAAATGAAAAACTCGATGGCATTGATATGAAATTTGAAGATGAGAGAGATTGGCGTGTTGTTGATGTTGTATCAAAGTTGTTGTCGTTGTTGTTGATGTTGCTGATGTTAAGGATGTTGTTGTTGTTGATATTGTTGTTGATGTTGTGGTTGTTGTAGTTGTTGTTGTTGATGTTGTTGTGGTTGTTGTTGTTTTTGCTGCTGCTGTTGTGGCTGTTGACGTTTTTGTTGCTATTAAAATCACCATTATCGCAAATACCATATTATCATTACCAACATCGGCATCGTCTACAACATCCTAAAATTTACATGAACATCATCATCGTCTTCATCATCGTCATCATCATCATCGTCATCATCATCGTCATCATCATCTTCTTCTTCATCGTCATCATCATCGTCGACATCTTGATAGTTGGATTATGATGCTTACTCTTTCATTATCTTTACGACGCACAGATGAACGCATCATGACGTCATCACCCCATGACATTATCATCATCAACAACAACAACCCATACGAACAACAACAATAAGACAAACAAACAACAACAACACAAACGAACAACAACAGCAGCAGCAACATCAACATCGCGCACATTTTTCCAAAGCATCCCAAATACGTAAAGTGGATGAACCGGTATAAGAAGAGAGTATTTAAATTTGAGTGTACTTGTTTGATTGTATGTATGTATGTATGTATGTATGCATGTATGTATGTATGTATGTATGTATGTATGTATGTATGTATGTATGTATGTATGTATGTATGTATGCATGCATGCATGCATGCATGCATGTATGTATGTATGTATGTATGTATGTATGTATGTATGTATGTATGTATGTATGTATGTATGTATGTATGTATGTATGTATGTATGTATGTATGTATGTATGTTAAAACCAAAACATGATGAGTGACACTGAACCGTCAAACATCAAGTAACAAATGGATTAACACTTTGATTTGTCGTTAATTGCACATGTCGGCATTCAGTTGGATATTTTCAAGCACACAGACACGCAGGAACCGCTGCAACAAGCACGAAATGTGGTTAGTTGCGAAAAACAGTTCCCTGCTGTCGCCTGATCTGACGCTGATCATTTTACATATTGCCTTAAGAAATTTAAGGGTGTTGGGGTCCATCGGGCCGAGAACCTCGATACATATTGGCAAGAATTCCATCGAGTGGAGGACGTTCCCATATTTTTTCATTTTCTCGTCCGCTGCCCTGGCCGCGGCCAAACCGCATTTTTTACTTGTCAGGTTTACGTATCGTTCGGCGAGGGTGCCAGGGACCGTAACATCCCACGCCAAACATCTGCCGGCTCTCCAAGGTATTAGTGTGCATCCGTCCGGGCGCCTACCATCATGCGCAGAAATGCCGGATGGTTTCTTGAGAACCGGGATTGAAGCCTTGGAGAAGAGCCGACAAATGTATTCGTTTAGCGCTGAGTGACGTAGTTGACGGCCCCCACCCAGGCGACAAACCAAACCGTGGTGCCCAAACTCGTCCGCCCCTGCGCTACATCGGCACGTGTATTTATTCTGAATGACCAGGCCAAGTCTGAAGCCAATGGCAAATCTCACAGACTCGTCGTCAAGCCTGGTGCCCACAGAGGTGTTGGGCCACCCACAGCTGGCAACGCTGGACATGGCCAACACACGAGCGGTGGAAAAGTCGTCGCCGCATGAAGACAGCAAATTTTGAAAGATTTTTTATATTCTTCGTTCAAAATTTGGACGTGCGTACGGTCTTCCGGGGTGGACACTGGGGGAAAAATATCGCGGCAACGAAAAAACCGGTGGAGCAGGGAAGACTGCAGGTCGAGAGTGGCAGCGGCAGAAGAATTATAAACAACGGGAGCCAGCTGAACCACGCTAAGCAACCCCAGCCCACCAAATCGCACCGGCAGCTGAGCCTGGGACCAACCACTGTCGATCACTTGAACATTGCAAATCGACGACAGGGCGGTGCGCAGGGCTCCGTCAAATTCGCCCAATTTAGAAGGGTCAATGTGTTTGGATGTACGCAGGAAATACATCAATTTGGGCAAACTGAGGGTATGTATGTATGTATTTACGTATGTATGTATGAACGTACGCACGCATTCACGCACGTAGGTACGTACGTATGTATGTATATATCTGTGTGTGTATGTATGTATATGTGTATGTTAGTTGGTCTGTATGTCTGTGTGTGTGTGTGTACATATGTAATGAATCCAAAATGCAGTTGAAAGTTGGCGTGCATCGCATTTGATATTTTTATGATGTGTTCGTCGCCGCACGGAATGTTTAAACATCTCTTCATAGACAAATTTGTTTAACATTCTTAAACTTCATTAATGTCAAACTGCATACAATGATTAAACAACTTGTATAACAAATTTAAACAATTTTTTAACCAAAAATAATAAAGATCACTTCATTAATTTCTCGGCCAGATATGATAATATACTAAAAATGAATTGTCATACTTATTAGCATCATTGTCGTCATCATCATCATCGTCGTCGTCATCACTTCATCATCGCCATTATCATTTCATCATCATCATTATCACTTCATCATCGCCATTATCACTCCA